ATGCACTTGCCATCATGTCCCCCATACTGGCACCACTGCAAAGGGTGATGGGGTCAGGTGGGCCTGGGTTCTTTCTGAAGTCAAAAATGAATGCAAGTCTATCTCTGTCTACCTTTCTGCTCTGGATGATTACATTTGTTCAGCCAGTCATCACTTACATCCTACTTTCATAATCTTTCATACCTGTTCACTTCTTTCTCATAAGACCCAGAAGAATCCCAGCTTGTGACTGCTTCCCAAAAACAGTTTTGTAATTTTGAAAGGTGTTGCATATCTGTTAGGTATGGTACTTCACACACTCAACACAGGATGATATTGTGTCCTAAAAGGGTCACTTCCCAAACTGCTGTGGGTTATTGCTTTGAAAGGAACAATTTCTTCTGCAGAAATTAGAGAAATATGTTTTTTTCTAATTACAGTATGTGTATGGTATGTTGTAACAATTTTTGTTCTTTTTTAGTGGATCAAGGCCTCTGATCAGCTACATTTAAAAAATCTAAAATAGGTTGGTTGTGACAGCTGTGCTTTTTTAATTTTCTGGTACCAGAAATATTTAGTCCTCTGAGAATGTTGGTAGGCTATTATTTGCCATTTTGTGGAGAAATTTGATCAATAAAAGGTGTGAAAATAAATATGAAGCAGTAATTGGTGAAATGCTCAAAGTACACAACAGGTAGTCATCCAAAGTGTGTGTGTGTGTGTGTGTGTGTGTGTGTGTGTGTGTGTGTGTGTGTGTGTGTGTGCGTGGCGTGCGTGCGTGCGTGCGGTGCGTGCGTGCGTGGTGTGTATAGAAAAGTGCGTAGTGCATAGTAGTAGTGCCCTTACAGACAATAAATACACATAAAATACATACAATAGCTAAAGACGTACACGTAGGCTACATACACACTCATGCACACATCCAAATGGAAAGATTAATCCGTTATCCATTTAACTGCGCGCTGTTAAATGTATATATATTTAAATTAATGATATCAATAAAAAGTGCAATGACTAGGTGAATAATTTGCTTTATCTGATGGACTACTACTCAATTACGGAAAAATCTGTAGTCCTACCTATAAAATATTATATTCCATTTTCTGACATGGCTCCTCCTAAATGTTACCATGGAAACCTTTAAGTTTTTTTGAAATAATTTGTTTTGGTTCATTTCAAAAGCTTAAAAGTTATTTGAGCTTGAAAAAATAGTAAAGACAGTTTTCCTTGAAATTAGCTTTTTTTCTTTAACACAGTGTAATATGGCAATAAGGGAATTTATTATTTTCTCTGGTTCTTTTTTTTTACTTTAGTGTTTTGGCAAGATGAATGGTTCTTGATATCATTCCTAGGCAGCACTAAAAGAAACAGATCGTACTGAGAAAAAGCAGTAATGATTTTTAATGTGTCCGAAACAAACAGCAAAGAGACTGCACATTTAGTTCATTTATTTCAACATGGAATAAATAAACTTTCACCTTCACAAAAACAAATACTGGCAGGCCTATCGAAAGTTTGGATGACGTATAATGTTGTTTAACAGTTTCTTACAAATTAACTCGCTACAAACTCACTCCTCTCCCTGTTTCATGTAAATCAGCTGACCTCCGTTGCCCACTCCGGTTCTGTCAAGCATTCTGACCCCTCTGAGTCTGAGAGAGATTGGGATAAGGGAACCCTTTTACTCATCTTTGCAGCTAGAGAAGTAACCCAAGAGTCTCTTGGTTTCAGTCCAGCTGAGCTGGTGTTTGGCCATACTGTGGGGCCCTTCAAAACTGTTGAAGGAAAAATGGTCGGAAAAACAAGTCTTCTACTAACCTCTTAGATTTTGTTAACAAGGCATGTTAACTGGCCAAGTAAATGTTGAAGGAAGCTCAAGGGAGGATGAAGGGGTGGTATAATAAAAAGGCAAAACATTGAGTCCTTCTGCCACTTCCGGGGTCTGCTTTGCAGGCTCAGTATAATGGACCATTTGTGATTAAGCATCAGGTTGGTGAGTATAACTCCTTGGTTAAGATCCCAGATCGTAAAACATGTTCATGTGATGTGAATCTGTTGAAACCCTATATTAACCCTGTTGTGAAAGGAACCAGGCTGTGCTTTCAGATGTAAAGACTGTTGCTGTGTTGAACACTCTAATCTATGTAGGTGAGAAGGACACTGATGTTGTAATCCTGGCCAGTTTGGATGCCAATCGTTCTTACCTGGATCCCCCAAACCGTTTTGACACCATTGAAGTCATTTACAAATACCCTGCCCTTTTCTCTGATGTGCCCACACACACACACCAATGTCCTTCAGCATGACAATGATGTAGGTGATGCCACATATATTCTGCCTTTAAAAATCATTACCAATATGGGTTATCTACAGCAATTGTTCCTGCCATTCAAAAATTTGTCATTCAACTCACATTGTCTTGTTCTCTGACATGAGCTGGTGTAGCACTACCCAGATTTATCAGTTATTATGAAATCTGTTGGACTGAAGTCAAAATGAAGGAACATTCATTATGGGCCTAATGGAAGCTGTCATGTTTGCTTTTAGCTTCCTCAAAACATTTGTCGCAACCAACCCACTGGTTTATGGTGTACCATTTTCAAGCCTCAAATTACATACTTTGAGTGAAGACGACTATTGCTCATTGGCTGTGCAGTTTGGACTTGTCCGTAAAAGGAAACAATGGCGGAAAAAATAAAGCACATTATTCAATTTTTATTGGTTTATTGTCTTCATAGATGTTAGATTTGTAGAGAAAAATGAAGATTTAAAAAACCTCATAAAGAAGAAATTGGCTCCATGTTTATGATGATTTTATCACTTGTTGCAGGAATCTAACTGCAATGGGAAGTTGTATAAATATATATATTATATATTATACTTTATTGATGTTGACTGCAACTGTTAAAGAACCAGAGTGTAGGATTTAGTGGCATCTAGCGGTGAAGTTGTAGATTACAACCAACTGAATACCACTTTCCTTGCAAGCATGAAGAAAAGGTTTTCCCAGATGCGTGTACAATGATTGGTCAATTTTGCGGAAACGTTGCAGTGATTGGCTTGCAAAGTCGCGCAGTTTTCTCAGGTATTAGTTAAATTTACGTTAATTATTGTGATCACAAATTACATTTAATTTATTGGAAATATACCAACTGAACACCGTTTCTGTACAATAATAAGTTAGTAATAATTAGTACCAAATTAAAGAGTTCTTTGAGGAAGTGTCTTAGAAATGATTAGTAATTGATTTGGAAGTTATGGACCTGTACATAGCATTAGCACAGCATTTTTTCCACAACATGTCGAGCTTGATTCACAGTAGGTTTACCTTAATGCAGAAAAGAGTTCAGAAATGAACAGTTCCAACAGATTTGATGTATTTCCAAACAGAAAATAATCAATGAAAGAATCTGTGGTGTCTTCATATGAATTAGAGTAGTATGTAAGTTAGTATGTCACCATACACACTATGGAAGTCACACACAGATCCCCTGCCCTGCATTGAGGGAACAGTGATTCCAGGATAGTTTATGGTCAGCGTCGTCAGGAGTTGGCTCCGGTCCGAGGTCCTCTGATGATGTGGATCTTGGCTTCATCATCCAGCTCCTCCATAATTCTCTCCTGTTTGACAGAGAGGATGGTGTAGCTGACTGGACAAGTACAGGTTAAAGAAAAACACGATAACATTTTAAAAACTGCCATGTACCTTGTTTACCTTGTTGGGTGTTGTAGGTTTTTGGAATTTCATTCTTTGAATGATTATTGGCCTGGACCTACTGGGTACAAAAACAAACCAACTAATGCACTATTGTGCTCAGTAGAATGAAAAGACTTGGGGCTGCAAACATTCAGCTGAAACATTCAAGGCTGAAACAATCAGGACTAACATATTGTTGTTCTTTGGTTAATTTTATGGAGATTAAGAAAATGTATTTTATAAGAAAATATAAAAAGAAGGTGGCTGATACGATTTTCATTCAGTCTTTTGAAACATTTTTAGGACAGTGATGTTTGTACATTAATATCAATATTCAAAAAACAGTTGGAGAAAGTGCTTGTTGTTACATCTTACACAGCTGAGGGGTTATTGTATTGTGCGTTGTTATCGCCATGGGTTATACTGTAGCACCCTCTAGTGACAGACAGTTATACTGCAAAACAATGTGTTATCACATAACACATGCAGTGTTATACAAAACAGGCCAATAAACAAAGTTAATCATAGACTAGATTTTGTTCCCATAGAAAGCAAATTGAGGAGAGTTCAATATCTGGTGTTTTGTGAGAACAGATCTTCCTCTGTACGGAGTTCATTTAAAGGACCAGTGTGTAGGATTTAGTGGCATCGAGTGATGAAGTTGCTGTTTGCAACTAACTGAACACTGCTCGCAACAAAAACACCACACTTCCTATATTCAATTCAGGTGATTATACACTAATGAAAATAGAACTATGAATAATATATTCCATTTCGGACAATAAATCCTAAATGTTACACACTGGACCTTAACAATGAAGGAGCCCCAGGAGACACCGTGAGACAAACCACAGACTGACTCGGTTTGCTTTTATTTGTTTCTCTTCAGTGAGTAAAAAGGGTTCTTTCTGAGTCTTAACGCTGAAGATATTTTTA